GGCCTCAATTTCCCCGTCTGCAACACACGAATGACAAGATAGGAATTGCCCAAAGGCAACTCTGTGAAGGACACGGTGTTATCATCCAAATGCTCAAAAATCATGAGCTAGATAGTAAAAACTACAGTGCTGACTTTTGCTAAAAAGTTAGTCATGTTTTTTTAATGTTAGCTAAGTCTAGCTTTTTGTGCCTTTGTTGTATGTATTTTCAAGCTCTCTTCTGCACAGCTACGGGTGATTGCTTCAAACCAACGTGAAAATAATTCTTACCCAGTCTGCTGAATTCTGGGTTGGGTGACCTTAAAAAAAGCACATTAAGTTTATATAAAAGCTTATGTAAAGTCCCATTCTGTTCTTCTGCTCTGTGGAACATAGAGTGGGTATAAATACCCTGCCTGTCACCCGAGTCCTGTGTTTAATTCTGTCTTCAGCATATATCCCCTACATGATGTGGCGAGGCAGACTGTTGCCTGGTCCATGAATTAAGAACAACCTTATACTCAGTGTTAACTCCAGCTATCGCTACACCCCGGCTTGTTTGTTTGCCTTGTTATGAGAGGAGCCTGAAGTTATATTACAAGTGATGATATGATCATATCCTCCAGATTTTGCCTACGTATCTTTTCTAAAATTTCCAGGTAAAGGCTCAAAGCCATTCTTCTAAGGCTTCTGTGGACTCTGAGGTCAGTGGCTGGATAGTTCATTATATTCATACTGGTAATTCCTTGCTTGCATTTTCTTGACCAGTTTCCATTCCAGCTGTTCCAGTGTATATGAATAGAAAATGTGTCCCTGTCTGTCATCTGCGGTGATAAGCTGCATCCTAGAGGCTGTACATGTAGATGTACTGAGTTTCCAGAGAAGGCTGAGTGTATGCCACATGCTATTAGCGCCACTTGAAACTAGGCTAATTACCTGGCAGGCATTGCTGCAGAGCAGATTCTTTATTAAAAATGAACGGGGTGACAAGGGAGGGACTCCTTGCTATTTTGGGACAAACACTCTCCTCAGGCAGCAGCTAGCCATAGCAGTAGGGCTCCCAGTCTATTACTTGGTTCGCTGTTTCTTGGCTGTAGAACTTAATTAACAATTCTGGAACCGGTCTGTTTCCCAGGTGTCACCTGTAAATCTGTTAAATTAAACAATAAAGGCAGATGTGGGTAAAAATAAAAATCTGACACAAGTCAGAAATTAAAAATTACGTTCCTTTGTCAATCCACAGGGTCCAGTGCAGGAATGTTCTAAAACCTTATGAAGCTTTTCTGTCTAGTGGGTCAAACAAGAGGGAAATGTTCCTGTGGATGCCACCATTTTTTGGAACTGGTGATTACTAATAATTACATAATAACTTTAGTGCATGAAATAGTACAAACAAATACTGCGATAACTGAGTTAAAACATACTTACAAACATTTTTTCCCTTCAAGATCTGAAAGTATACCACAAACATTTGTCATACCTGTGAATTAGACTGAAAAAGACCAGGAGCCCAGAAGAGCAGTGTTCTTAAGGATCTGAACTCAGTCGTCCAGAACTCTGTGCTTCCTCAACTTCCACGGATTTGAACTGTAAAGCAGCCCGAGACATTGTGTGTTTGGTCTTTTACAGGGAAAGCCAAGGATAAGGTAACACTCCTACCCTCTACCTATCACATAAACAACCAGAACACCATTTTTGGTAGTTAATTTCCCCTCCCATCACCATTTTGTCTTGCTAAGGTATGCCCGTTCTTAACTTCCATTAACGTTAGTCTGCTCATTGCGAATAACAGTAAGGATACCTATATGTCTGTATAATATTAGTCTTATGAGGCCATTCAGATTCAATTAATTCATGTACAGCAATAAGATGACCAGAATATTATTTCATTACAGTATAACTACTTCAAATGAAGTAATTACTATTTTAAAAAGCAGATTTTTTTTGTTCTTCAGAAATTATAACCATCTTGTGTAGATGGCAATCAATTGCAGAAGGAGAATTTCTAAATATGAGAAAGAATGTGCTCATCTAAACTATTGCTCATGTTTTAAGATGGCCAGTGAACCCATTTTATTACTGCAGTTAGTTGGAAAGAGCACTATTCTGCAAAAATCAGATAATGTACTTATTTCTAAAAGCCTGGAACAAAAGAGATTTGCTGAGTAGTTGCAAGATAGCCATTAAATATAAATATTTTTTTAAACAATTTACTCTTTCGTAATGCTTTTAGAGCAGCATGTGGGAACAGAGTCTAAGTGCAACATCTTGCTGCATGAGAAAGGACATGATGGAGGTTATTGGGCTCCAGACTTAACCCTTCTATCTCTTAACTGTTCCTAACAGTTCCTAACTTATATAAGCTATGTGAGTTTACATAAAACCTACCCTTCTCTCCTAGTGGTAACAATAAAAATTTATATTTTTAAAACAACTATTCCAAATGATCCACATTTTTCACTTTCTTATAGAAACAAACTACTTGTAATGGTGAATTCAAGTTTAAGTTTCCATTCCTCAAATTAAAAATAGCAGTAGAACTGGGAATTGCTTTATTTTCATCCCGAGTATGCACTGTAGATGGAAAAGGGAATTGCTTTGTAGGGCTGTATAGGTATAAATGGTACAAATATTTATATTGCTGGTTTGAATTAAAATGTGTAGGCCAGATAGAAAGAAAAGAGGATGATTTTTGCTCCAAACTACCCAGGTCTTGATCCAGTATAAGGAATAACATAAATTAATTCTGTTACTCAGGAAGCAAAATGTCATTCAACCCCTTGATCGCAGCAGCGCACCTGACAGAGGAGAGCCCCTTGTTACTACACAGAAGGCAGACTGACTGAACCATGAAACCACTTGTCATAACTGGGGGACAACAACAAGGCGGACACTACCAACAACAGCATTTTCAATTTGTCCCTCATGTTTAGGTCATTCTTAAGTAGACCTGCAGCAACTGCACTGCACAGCACTTGGCCTGGGCTTCCTCTGCCTCCATACAGCATCTTCACAGCCCAAAGACGAAAGCGCTGACTTTTCATTGCAGCCGTTTTTCAGTTCAACGTGCCCAAAATAACAAGCAGGCCTGCCAACAGGGTGTTTTTTAGCATGATGCAGAGGATGCTCAGGAGTGTTAGGCAAGGCCCATGGGGACAGTATCAGGGCATTCTGAAGGGCAGAGTGAGCCAAAGCTCATGTGGACTCATCCACACTGCCTAGGAGTACTGGATCCCTGGAGAGAACTGTCCCAGGACTTTACTGGGTATCTGATTCACTCCAGAGAAGAACCGAGGATGAACTATCACTCATACAGACAGGGAACCAAGGACAGGGAAGCAAACATACCTTAAAAACCTCCATCTTGATTCATGATACTTCTGCATTTGGAGTTTTAGTAGCTGTAGGTACAATTCATCTGATCAAATTTAAGACATTTAAGTCTGAGCTAGGCACTTCAGGCTACTTTTACAGTCAACAAAGGAAAAGACGGCCCATCCATAGTGATGCACCTGGTCTTTCTTAGATGCCTGTTTAAGGAGGAAATGGATGAGCCTTCAAGAACTGGCTATGTGGAACTTCATAAATAATGTCTTTGCTGAGAGGCTATCCCATGTATTGATACCAAAGCTCATATCATTCAATATCATCATCACCCTCAGCAAATTTCCAGATGATGTGAAACTGGGGGAACAGCTGACACATGGAATGGCCTGGCTTCAATCCATAATCTAAGGAGAAATGCAAGTTTCAGCACCTGGGTAAGAATACCCCCAAGCCCCAGTACGGGCTAGGAGCTGACTGTCAGAGAGCAGTCCGGATGCAACCGGGCTCACAGCAGATGAACCGGGCTTACAGCAGATGCCTAACTGAATACAAGCCAACAGTGCACTCTCATCACAAATATGAGAAAATGCATCCTGAGCAGTACTGACTGACTGGAAGAGGCCAGCAGATGAAGGGAATGTTTTGTTCTCCTCTGCTCAGCACTGGCGAGGCCATATTTGGAATACAGTCCACTTTTGGCACAGCCAGTAGAACAGGGATGTGGGGAAACTGGAATTGGTCCACTGGAGGGCTAACAAGGTGGTTACCTACAGAACATGACCTACAAGGAACGTGGAGGAAGCTGGACTTGTTCGGTCTGGCACAAAGGAGTCTGAGTGTGGTATAACTGCAGCCTGTGACTGCTTGAAGAGAGGTACATAGATAATGGAGATGAAGTTTCCTTAATTATGTCAGATAATGTAACAAGGGTCAATGGCCAAAAAAATGCTGCTTCAAGGCTCAGACAGGACATGAAGAAAAAACATTTCATCAGGAGGGTTGTACAGTGCTGTAACAGATTATCCAGAGGAACAGCTGAGTCCCTCTTGTTGGAGGTTGTCAAGATCGTAAATCCATGGCTGAACAGCTCCAGTGTTGGTAAAGCCCAGCTTTGAGCACAAGGATGGACTTTCCGACTAACTGTCTAAGATTCAGTGATAAACGGAAGACAGGCAGCCTGAAAATTACAGCTGGGACAAAACACCGCCAGGTGAGAATCTGTGCTGAAGTCCACAGGCACTGGCTTTTGCAGTGTGCCCTTTGTGAAACCCCCAAGCCATGCTCAGCCTCACTGGCATCAAGAGCAAAATTCTCTAGAGCTGGAACAGACACGTGCTTGAACTTATGATGGAAAAACAGGATTTGCTGAGGGAGACAAACTAATCATACATACAGTGTATAAACAGATATATTCATAAGGAGCAATGGGCTACTGTTGCAGGCTTTTGTCTGTAACATATGAACACTATTGTAAGCCATTACGCTATGTACTACCACCATCTCTGGAATGTGTCCAAGCCCTTCAATTCTCTATTAATAACAATAAATGAAAATTCTCATCCAGAACTAGGGGCACAGGTACTGAACAGGGTGATCTGAGCTCTCTCCCAGTTCCTGTGACTCCCTAAGTAGGGACATATTAAACTGATTTTTGCAGCAGAGTTCCTTCTAAAACCATAGATTAAATTAATTGCTGAAAAAAACCCATTTGGTTTGATTTTTCTTAACATTTATTATATATTTAGAATAAATTTGTTGTGGCTTTGGCATATGCAAGATAGAAATTTAACTTTCAGTAAGAAGAAAAATACAGTTCCCAAAGGCACCTGTGTGAAGAATCACAAAGCAGAGCTCAGCTTAGCTTAGAAAGAGGATTCATTTCTTATCCTGAGAGTGTGACCAGACAGGCTTACGTTTCTGAATAAAGGCTTCAATACCTTCCTGCCCATCTCTCAAAGTCAAATTGTCTGCCATGACCTGAGTAGTCATTTTGTAAGCAGTATCAAGGTCCTGTGTCATCTGTCTGTAAAAGGTGGCTTTCCCCAACGCCAGGATGGATTTGCTGCTTTCACATATCTTGTGAGAGATTTTCATGGTCTCTTCTTCCAGCTTGTCTTCTGGTACCACCTTGCTGACAAGCCCGTGCATTAATGCTTCTTGGGCAGAAAGAGGTTCACCCGTGAAAAGCATCTCTAATGCCACCTAAACAAGAAAAAATATTGTATGAAGTCAATTTGACTGCCTTATTGCTTTGGTTTGTTTGGGGAATTTCAGCTTCCTCCTTCAAGTACAAGTTACTCTTTTGACAAACATAAGATTTAAATCTTTTGGCCTCTTAAACTGCCAAGGAAGTGGTAAGAGGTTTCAGCAAAGAGAAGGACTGGGTTTAAAGTTTGCCTTTTTTCAAACCTGCTCACTGTCTGCAGCTGTCCTAGGCTGACACCTCTGTGTTTCCTTTCAAAAACCCAGAATCTCTAGTGATTGCAGTAGGAATTAAGACAGATGTGGCTGGTCCACAATGTCAGTATTTTAAGCTGGGTTTAGAACGATAAATAAAGACTTACTACGTCAATGTGTAGTTTTTGAAAATGCCTGCCTTAGTTCAAGGTTGGTTGGGGTTTTTTTTTAATAAGTCCTTCTCATAGCTGCATCTATTTCAGTCTCCTGCTGCTTCCAGCATCTTGTACTTCAGGTTTCAAATTAAAAGATCTCCCAAATACTCAGTGACTATTTGATGTTATATATCAATAAGAATTTTCTTCCATGACTCCTGATGCAACAGACCAATGACCTGAACCATAAGAGCTGATTATCCTCATTAGTATCTTTGCTCTGGTAGCTCCAAACAATGCCAACTTTTCATTTGATAAAAGGTAAAATCAGTAATCCTGAGAACTGTAGGGAATGTTCTTGCTACTTTGAAAAGTGACACAAAGAAAAAACATAATCCCACACGTTTTAAAAAGGTAATAATAAACCCCAGAAATACTAATTCAGAAAGTTATATCTGTACACTATAGCACACTTGGAAAAAACCCACAGAGACAGACTATATTTGAACACGATGGCCTTACAGATGGAAAATTTAAAGTTGAAGCTTTTATCCATCAATTGGACTTGTGCAGTTAATTCCTTGCATCCTGCTGGGCTTGGAGACTCTGTCCGCATGAATCCAACTGGATCAGAACTTAAAATTTATTTTCTCAGTGATGGAAGCTTTACAGATTGTACCATTGTTTATGCAGTGAGAGATGTGGAGTCACCATCAGTAGGAAATAGAGCAGGAAGAAAGTACAGGAGGCTTTTAGATGCTATTTAAAGCATCTTGATCTACACCCAGGCAGCTCATGCTGGCAGTGAAATGTCACTGCCTGGCAAGAACTGATACCTCGGTGGGATTGATATCCTGAACTTGCAGGGTTTCCTCATCAGGGGAGAACATCATTGTCTAACGCACAGAGCTGTCTGTTGGAAAGGAAAGGGATTGCTGAGCTGGTGTGCTGCTGGTATGAGCTCATGCTGGTTGGAACCGCATCAACAGGAAGCTGCTTCCCCTAAACACAGTTCATCCCTGTATTTTATTTGGCAGTCCAAAGAGTTACGAAGATGTCTTTTGCAGTGAAGTATTTAGAATGTACTGCAGGAAAATAAAGTTTAAGCAATGGAGCTAAACCTCCTAACATCGGAACCTACTTCTTCCAAAATTACAAAGAGTATCTGGGAAGGAAGCCTACCTTTCTTGGAAGAGATCTGCCCAAGGCCACAGCTGGTGTGGAGCAAAACAGTCCGATATTTACTCCAGGAGTAGCAAATTGGGATTTCTCACTCGCCACTGCGATGTCACAGCTTGCCACAAGCTGACAGCCTGCTGCTGTAGCCAAGCCATTTACTTTGGCAATCACTGGTACTGGAAGTTTCTGGATTAAAGTCATAACCTGCATGCACAAAATAAAGTGGTCAGTTAGTCCCTGAAATTTAAGCAGTGGCTCTTCTAAAACTTGCAATGCTTTGTGCATTTTTCAGCTTTATTAACTCGAGTTCAGTAAAAGATGTAAGCATGAGTTTGTCCTGCTAATTCCAGTGGAAATGGAAAACACAAGAAGGAAAGGCAAAAACACTTGTTATCAGATCTGCATGGAGCTTGGGTGCCTCTCCACTGCTGGTCTAGTGTTCCTGGCTGTGGGAAGATATGTATCCAAGGCACACCATCCCCACCTTCATCTGCCCTGATCTCAAGCCTGGGTTGATCTCACCCAAACACAATCATTGGATGTCTTTCTAGGCTTATTCTGCATTCCAGGGAGAGACTTAACCTGCCAGGAAACAATCTTTCCTGCTTGCATTAGACGTAAGATGGGAAAACACACTAACTCTCTCATCCCCTCCACCTTGCCCTCGATAGTTCTTGAGGGTTGGACATCCAACTTCAGATAGCTGAAGCTAAGAAAGGTGAATTTGTCTGAACTTTTCTACCTCAGGTTCTCCTTCCTACTTCTTCCACCCTACAGAGGGTGGAAGCAAGGACAAGTAGCTTGGGAGGAATAATGAGAAATTGTCTGAGCAGCCAGGGATCAGGTTAGGAAAGCTAAAGCCCTGACAGAATTAAATGTGGCCAGGGTCGTCAAGGGCAACACTAAAAGCTTCTCTAGGTATGTTGATGATAAAAGGAAGACTAGGGAAAATATGGGCCCTCTCCAGAAGGAAACAGGAGACCTGGTCACCCAGGATATAGAGAAGGCTGAGGTACTCAATGACTTTTTTGCCACAGTCTTCACTGCCAAGTGCTCAAGCCACGTTGCCCGAGCTGCAGAAGGCAAAGGCAGGGAATGGGAGAATGAAGAACTGCCCATTGTAAGAGAAGATCAGGTTCAGGACCATCTAAGGAACCTGAAGGTTTACAAGTCCATGGGACCTGACGAGATGCATCCACAGGTCCTGAGGGAACTGGCAGATGAAGTTGCCAAACCGCTGTCCATCATATTCGAGAAGTCGTGGCACCCTGGGGAAGTTCCCTCAGACTGGAAAAGGGGAAACACAACCCCCATTTTTAAAAAGGGAAATAAGGAAGAGCTGGGGAACTACAGGCCAGTCAGTCTTACCTCTGTGCCTGGCAAGATCATGGAGCAAATCCTCCTGGAATCTATGCTAAGGCACATGGAAAACAAGCAGGTGATTGGTGACAACCAACACGTCTTTACCAAGGGAAAATCGTGTCTGACGAATTTGGTGGCCTTCTACGACAGGGCCACAGCGCTGGTGGATAGAGGAAGGGCAACTGACATCATCTGCCTGGACTTGTGCAAAGCCTTTGACACTGTCCCACACGACATCCTTGTCCCTAAACTGGAAAGACAAGGATTTGACAGAAGGACCACTCACTGGATAAGGAATTGGCTGGATGGTCACACTCAGAGTTGTGGTCAATGGCTCAATGTCCAAGTGGAGACCGGTGACAAGTGGCGTTCCGCAGGGGTCGGTACTGGGACCAGTGCTGTTTAACATCTTTGTTGGAGACATGGACTGTGGGATGGAGTGCACCCTCAGCAAGTTTACCAATGACACCAAGGTGTGTGATGTGGTGGACACGCTGGAGAGAAGGGATCCACCCAGAGGGATCTTGACAGGCTTGAGAGGTGAGCCTGTGTGAAGCTCATGAAGTTCAACAAGGCCAAGTGCAAGGTCCTGCACATGGGTCAGGGTAACCCCAAGCACAAATACAGGCTGGGAGGAGAATAGATTGAGAGGAGACCTGAGGAGATGGACTTGGGAGTGTTGGTTGATGAAAAGCTCAACATGACCCAGCAATGGGCGCCATTCTCAAAAAGAAAACTAGGCTTGTTTTTAACTCTAAATGCTGACATTCTGTTATTTTTTTGCTAATTTCTCTTTATTAATCAAACTTAAGCTCGCTATGCTACTCATGAATCCTGAATATAGCCACAGTGCTAGATATACATACAGGACAATTTTTATTCTTCTCATTCTTAAAGAGAGAAATTTACCAATGCTTGATTTCATGCTATATGAAATAAGTTTCACTTTTTTTTCTGCCTGATCTTTCCTATTCTGTGACCTGGAAGCTGCATGGTTCAATTTTCCACTGCCAACATACTGGTATTCTGCCCTGCAACTGCAAAATTAATATTAAACTACTGGCTGCTAAACTGTTGGACCTTGGCTCCTTTCTGATAAAGGGACTAACCTGTCATTCAGTCATATTTGTGCTTACCTCTTTGTGACCAGCATACCAAGAGAAAATACAGGCAAAGCTGCCAGGATTGTTGCTTCATATCCCTTCAGTGGTAACTCTCACACATGGCTTTTACAGCATTTGCTAAATATGGGTTTGACAATGCGTATAGAGATCATTATTGCTGGATGAACCAGAACAAAAGGTTTCAAATTACTTTCTGTGGTCACACTGAGCAGGATTAGGACGAATTCTAGTGCTGTTACCATCAATGGGTGTTGTGCAATTCTCTCCAAAGGATCCGGGATTCACTTTAACATCCCAACCTACAGGTCTGTGCCTTGGTAACAAGGACTTGTACGGTCTGCTGACTGGGCAACCGGGCACTCAGAGATGTATTCAGATCTTACTGTCACATTGTCTACTTGATGTTTATGCTGGTCTTGAATTCCTAGCTAGATGCTGGGAAAGAACATCTGATCACAAGTGGTATGAAGGTGGTCATCCCTAGATTTCTAGGAAAGATATTGCACAAATACTCAGCTGCAAGGAACACTAAGGAATGCACCATGACTGTACCCACTGTCGAAGACATGCACATTGGCATTCTAGCACTTGTATTTGCACGTAGAGAAATGCAGGGAAAACATAATTTTACCAGGATCAAGTATTAAAACGGCAGAGCAGCAAAAAGCAAGGAATGTGGAGCAACAGCCTGTGCCTTAGCTTGAAGATGAGCAATGCTGTCCTTGGACTTGATGATCCTTGCGGTCTTTTCCAACCTTAATGATTCTGTGATTCTATGATTCAATATCATTGCTTGCTCTTAATACCAGGCAAAGGGGTGGCACTTAAGGAGAACTGCTTACCTCTGCACATATTTCAAATACTTGGGAATGATGCTTCACATCATCTTCACTTGACAGTTCCTTTAAATCATGGCCAGAACAAAATACAGGTCCTTCAGCTGCAGAGAATTTCAGGAAAAGTCAGTCTGAATTAATCAAGAAACCAGGGGTAGCAGCATATCAATGCCCCAGTTAAAAGCATAGAGATGTCAATGGTCAAAACCAAGGAGCCTGGAGCAGGAGTTTTACACACAGTTCTGAAATATTGCCTTCTGGGTTTGGTAGCAACTTTAAATTGCCACAATGCAACATATAGCCACAGTAACACTCATAAACATTTTTAAAGGCCTAGTTTTACCTCCATTACAAGTTTACTTGGTTATAAATAAGGCACTTCACACCTCTGAGCCCAGTTTCATGTAAAGATACTGTACTAAACAGCTCTTTGGTACAATGTAAACTAGCCAGCTGGAGTGAGAATGGAGTGCTCTGCTCTCACACTAACAGATGCAGTTATTCCCTACCGACTGAATCCAGTGTTAATTATTAACTTCTGCTAAATAAGCATCAAGATTTTTCTGTCATGCCATTCAAAGCCACAATAGGGGAAAAAAAAAAAAAAAGAAAAAAGAAAAAAAGGTTGTTCTGCTAGAGGAAAACCAGAAGGGTTGTTGGGGCATGTCTTCCTCCACTACTAAAAGCGTCACCCAGAGAATCTCAAAAAGCATGTCTGGGGTTTGGGCAGCAAAAGGGCAGGTTTCTGTGGACCTAACTTTTGGATTTGCTTGCCTCCAATGGCAGCTAAGATCAAAACACCCTTCACAGGTACACTATCTTTACAACAGTATTCCTTTGTCATGAGGTTATCTGCCATATAAATAAACCAATTTGATGCTTTTGAATCCTTCATAACTTCTCAGATATTTGTATGGACAGGACACTTCCAGCTACAACTATGCAGGCACAACCTTACCTATGCATTTGTTTCTCACTGACCAGATTAATGTGGCACAGTCTGTCCAGAAATAACCACTCAATTAACATCAATCAGCTCACGGGATCAGCAATACATGTCTGGAAATTAATCACATCTGCATTTGTGCCTCACTGAAGAAGAATCCATTGTAAAGTCTGTGTTAAAGACTAAAAGCATTCCCTGAAAAGTCTTTTTTTTCCTTGAAATTTCTTCTTTTGCATTGCATTCAGCAAGGGAATTGGAAATCAATAGGAACATGCTATTCCTTTTTAAACTAAAACAAACAAACAAAAAATGGTGCTCACTCCCAGACTACTGTACACCCACAGAAGAACCTGAAGCGTTTCAGAAAATTTGTAACTCCTGTTTGAAACACTGACTATAGAAACTCAGCCCTGTGTAGTTAGCTTACTTCCACTCACAGTGTTTTCCTCCACATACAGGAAACAGCAGGATCCTAAATTAATGAACCTATTTCTCCAAGATGTTTGGAAGGGGGGCAGGGGAAGATTATCTTAAAATAGCAGAGGAAAAAAAAATGACAGCTTAAGAACAGCTCAAGTTTCATTATCTTTAAGAACTCCACAGGTTAATACCTAAATGGAAGAAAACTGGAACAGGCTCCGAGAAAGAATGTTTTACATCTGCGGGTTATGGGTGACTGCACTATCAATGGTTTCTCCTTCACTGGTGAGTTTTAAAACTGGTTTTGAGAAACCAACGGGAAAGACAACGAGCCTGAGCCTGGCTTAGAGCAGGGGAACACATCACACGATGTGAAGAAACCCTGTGAGCGCCGTTACTGCCATCTCTACCAGCAGCAAGAGCCACACCAGCTCAGCCTGTTCCTGCACGAAAAACAGCAGCCGGGAACGTTATATCTTGAGTTCGATAACCATTAGAACTTGGCTTTTGTTCTGTTTAAAGTATGCTCTACACATCGTTTTTAAAATCCAAATCCAATTATTTCAATTTTTTCCTCAGCTTCCTCTCTCCCCGCCCCCGGGCCCATGCCGGCAGTACCCGAGATGACGATCACCCGCAGGTCTTTGCTTTTGACGTCGTGGAGCAGGTCCTCCCTGAGGGACTGCAGCATGGCGAGGGACAGGGCGTTTCTCTTCCTCGGGTTGTTCAAGATGATGTTTCTGAAACGCCGTTAATACAACGGGTTACGATATAAAAGCCACAAACGCGTTCAGAGC